CCAGCAACTTGGGAGGCTGAGACAGGAGAATTTTAAAGTTCAAGGCCAGTCTCAGCACTTAGCAAGACCCTCAGCAACTTACTGAGACCTTGTCTTAAAATAAGAATGGCTGGATATGTAACTCAATGCCAAAGTGCCCCTGGGGGGTTCAACCCCCCAGTACCAAAAACAAATATAAATATATTTTGTCCTCTGGACCAAACTTGATAAGTCATTCTCAGAATTGTGACTAATTTAGAAAAAAGTTATATCCAGCCTCTTATAACTTGTTAAGTCCGGAGAAAATTTTTTTAAATATTTTTTTAGTTGTCAATGGACCTTAAAATTTATTTATATGTGGTTTTGAGAATCAAACCCAATGCCTCACACATGACGGGTGAGGTCTTTACCACTGAGCCACAATCTCAGCCCCTAGGACAAAAATTTTTTAAGAAATAAATTTTATTGTGTATATTTAAAACTAACAATATGTTAGGAGAGAATTGTGTCAGTTGTTATTAGGAGTATTTTTTAAGGCTTTGTAAATGTGATCTAGAAAATATAAAGGTTGAAACAAAATTAATTTCTGTTGGTAAGAATGGATAATGTTTTAGAGTTGTGTTATAAGAACAAATTACAAATATTTATTGAATGAATACATTAATATAAATTGTATGTGTTTATCATCCAGCTTTATTATCTTATTTTATCTGAATGCTTGCTCACTTATTTCTTTCTCCAAAATTGTTTTGATGTAAGCTCTAGATATTATTACATTCATAAATATTTGGGTAAATATCTCTTAAAGAAAAGGATTAGCACAGTGAATTGGAAGGATGGAAAGTTCAAGATCCTGTCTCAAAAAATAAATAAATAAAAGGGATGGGAATGTATTTCAGTGGCAAAGCCCACCCTGGTTTCAATCTCCAGTACGGAGTGGGTGAAAAAAAAGTTAAAAAGTCAAACCAAACCAAGCCAAAAAAAAAGGCTTGGGGTATAGTTCAGTGGTAGAGAGCACCTGCCTAGCATGTGGGAGGTCTTGGGTTCATGCACACATACACAAAAACTACCACAACAAAAACAAGCCCCACAATGCTGTTATCATTAACAAAATTAACAGTAATTAATACTTTCAAATGCCAATTGGGTTCAAATTTTCAACTGCCCTATGAATGCTTCTTTTATTGTTTTCTTGACTCTGGATCCAAATAAGATTCTTACATTCTTACACGTTTAGTATGTTAGTTTCTCCTGTATCTATTCTTCCTTGTAGTTTTTGCTGTTTATGAAACCAAGTTTCAGTCTGGAATACTGCTTCCCTGTGATGTTATTTAACTTGTTTCTCTGTTTTTTATACTTTCTGAAACCTGATTTTAAAATCAGAGCAAAAAATACTTCATAGGTTGTTTACTTCTAGCAGAAGGTATATGATTTCTAGTTCCTTTTATCTTTGTGATGCTAACATTCATCAATGTGACATTCCTTATGTCAATGTCTGTCTAGTCATTTTTGTTGTGTATAACTTGGTACTTAGTAGATTCCTGAGAAAGGTCTTATGAAAATGATATTACTTGTTGATAATAGCTTGTTTGTGACTTTATACTTGAGAGTTATTTTGGCTAGTCATAAAATTCTTGGTTCAAATTTTCTTTTCTTGGGACTAGGGTTGTGGCTCAGTGATAGAGCGCTCGCCTAGCACAGGTGAGGCCCTGGGTTCGATCCTCAGCACCACATAAAATTAATTAAAAATTAATTAATTAAAGATATTGTATCCAACAGCAACTAAAAAATAAATATCTTTAAAAGTTTTTTTTTCTTTAGTATCTTAAAATGTTATTCCATTGTTTTTGGAATAATACATTGCTATAAAAAGTCAGTTGCCAATCTGACTTTTTAAAAAGTGATTTTCCTTAAAAAAATCAGCACTTTCCCTGGGCATAGAGGCACAGGATATAATCCCAGGGGCTCTAGAGGCTGAGGCAGTAGGAGGATCAAAAGTGCAGAGCCAGCCTGAGCAATTTAGTGAGGCCCCAAGGAACTTGATGAGACCCTGTTTCAAAAATAAAATGGGCTAGGGATATAGCTTACTGGTAAAGTGCCCCTGAGTTTGATTCCCAGTAAACCCTCCCTTTCTCAACTCCCACTCCACCCACAAAAAAAATCAGTAGTTTTGCGTGCTCCGTTAGCCAGTTCTTGTGGTTTCAGCCAGCTACTCGGGAGGCTGATGCTGAAGAATTACTTGACCAGGAATTTGAAGTCAGCCTGGGCAACAACATAGTCATACTGCATCTCAAAAAAGAAAATCAGTTGGCGCTGTGGCATATGCCCATAATCCCAGGGTCTGGGAAGGCCGAGGCAGGAGGATTCCAGTACAAAGCCAGCTTTAGCAAATTAGCGAAGCCCTGAGCAACTTAGTGAGACCCTGTCTCAAAAAATAATAAGGGCTCAGTTGTTAAGTGCCTCTGGGTTCAGTCACACACACAAACACGTACACACCAAAAAAAACCCAAAAATGTAGTTTTAATATATATATTATAAATTTTATCTTTGTGATGCTAACATTCATCAATGTGACATTCCTTTTATATATATATATATATAATTTTTATTTATTTTTTTAAGGTTTAAGACAGGGTGTAGCTAAGTTGCCAAGCTGGATGCTGCAATCCTCCTGTGGGAATATTATTCTGCTTCCCCTATCTCCATCCCTAATTACTTTCTTCTTTTTTTGAATTTTTTTTTTTTTTTTAGTTGTAGATGGGCACAATGCCTTTATTTATTTATCTTTATATGGTGCTGAGGATCAAACCCAGGGCTTCACACATGCTAGGCAAGTGCTCTGCCACTGAGCCCCAGCCCCAGCCCCATCCATCCCTAATTACTTTTTATGGGATTTGATTAGGACCTTTACTACTGTTCATTTTTAGATGAAATATATCTTTCTGAACTTTAAATGGGAAAGCATGGGTTAGAATAGTTTTCTAGATTTGCAGGTTTAGAACTTTTGTTGTTTTTGATAGTGTTTAAAAATATGGACAAATATCTCAAAAAAGCTGTTTAAAAAGAAAAGGTCTCTTGCTAGGTGTGGTGCACATGCCTATAATCCCAGCAGCTCAGGAGGCTGAGGCAGGAGGATTGTAAGTTCAAAGCCAGCCTCAGAAACATTGAGATGTTAAGCAACTCAGACCTTGTCTTTAAATAAGGCTGGGGATGTAGCTGAGTTCAATCCCTAGTTAAGGCGCCCACCCCCCACCCCAAAAAAAGAGAAAAAGTCTTCCATTTTCTGAGCTCCAGCTATGTTCTTCTTCACTTTTATCTGGATCTTTTCTTTGCTCTTGTTATTCTTGTCTTCCTGGGTTTGGATTTTAGGTCCAATACTTTCTCCTTGGTGTGGGCCTTCATTCTGGAAAGGGAGCATTGATTATAGTGTTTGTATATGGCTGAACACCAGAGCTGCTGTAGCTCCTACAGACCTTACCGTTGGTGCCATGGCACTCTCCCATTGTCACCTGCTACGTGTAACAATTTGCTTGAGAATATGCTTTCCAGAGAATGCTGCTTCTTAGGTCACAGAAATCCCCTGCCCCACCCCATACATACAGGTTTTGCCCTATTCTGAAAAATTACTAGAATGCGTTTTCATTTAATTTTTTTGTTTTTGTTATTTTGGTACTGGGGATTGAACTCAGGGGCACTCAACCAATGAGCCACATCCCCAGCCCTATTTTGTGTTTTATTAGAGACAGGTCTCACTGAGTTGCTTAGTGCCTCACTTTTGTTGAGCCTGGCTTTGAACTCGTGGTCTTCCTGTCTCAGTCTCCTGAGCTGCTGGGATTACAGGCGTGTGTCACTGTGCCTGGAACTAGTTTTGTCATAGATGTTCTCTGTGGATTTTTAATTTTCTTATTCTAGTTGCTTTTTTTTTTTTTTTGAGCAGGGTGATACTGGGATTTGAACTCAGGGCCACTCAACCACTGAGCCACATTCCCAGCCCTATTTTGTATTTTATTTAGAGACAGGATTTCATTGAGTTGTTAGCATCTTGCTTTTTCTGAGGCTGGCTTTGAACTTGCCTCAGGCTCCTGTACCACTGGGATTATAGGCATGTACCACTGCGCCTCACCTGCTATTTGTTTTTTTTATTATTATTATTATTATTATTATTATTATTATTATTATATGTATGTGGTGCTGGGACCTTGAACCCAGGGCATTGTGTATACAAGACAAGCACTCTACCAACTGAGCTATATCCCCAGCCCACTATTTGTTTTTATGTGAGAACTGATGAAATACTATGCTGTTACCATCTTCTACAGTGTTATTTTTACTAATTATATAGCATTGGTTGTCATGTTTAAAACATCTGATATAAACAGATGGATGCTTAATAATGAAAATGTTGAGGTGGTTGATGATATTCCCTGTTATTGCTTTAGGACCTTCAATAGTAACTGTCCTAGAAGTCAGTGCTTCTGAAGGAGGAATTGCCTTGCTACAAAGACCCCCCCAGTGACAATGATCAATTTCTGTGGTTGGAATATGGAATTTTTCTTCTTCATGATGACTGCTGTTTAGGCAGAAAGTAGTAGCAGCATCTCATTATGAGGAATGTTGAGTTTTATGGACAAACTAGGGAGTCTAAATGGTTTATTTTTATTATGTATTTACTTATTTTGGGGTATTAAGACTTGAACCCAGGGGCCTAGCTTATGCTAGACATGCATGAGCTACCCCTAGCACCTAGTTTCTCTGTTTTTAAATTATAACCTCACTTAATTTTTTTCTATAGGTCAAGTTTTACTTGGTTTTCTCAATAAAATGCCTTGTAAATTCTCAACAAATTCTTTCTCTCTTTTACATGCATACAGTCTTTTGGGAAACAGTTTATTTAAAGTTTGGAAACCTGCCGGTGTGGTAGTGCACACCTGTAAAGCCAGCTTCTTAGAAGACTAAAGCAAGAGGATCACAAGTTTGAGGCAGCCCTGGGCAATTTAGACCCTGTCTCAAAATAAAAAATAGTGCTCACTTTGGTAGCACATATACGAAAATTGGAATGATACAGAGAAGATTAGCATGACCCCTGCACAAGGATGACATGCAAATTCATGAAGTGTGCCACATTTGAAAATGAAAAATAAAGAGTCTGGGGATGTATCTCAGTGGTAGAGTGCCCGGGGGTTCAATCCCCAGTGCTACAAAAAGAAAGGAAAAAAAAAAGTTGGAGATCTGAAAATCATCACTGATACCAAGAATGTAATATGTCCTTTTTAGGGCTGATTATCAAGTTAAAAAAACCTGTGTTGAGTTTTTTAAAAAGTGAATTTGAAAAATTGACTATGAAAACTGCCCAACTCATTTAAAGTATGGTAGCTTATATATATAGCTGTTTTCTTTTTTGAAACAGTTTTCTTAATTGATTCCATGATAATCGTATGAGTTTTCCTCTTCTGGCTATCTTTCTGTGTTTTTCTGAGATCTTTTTCTGTTCTTGCCCATACCATACCTTTTCCCCCGCTTTCTTTCTGTGTTGGGCATAGAATGCAGGGCCTCATATATGCTAGACCAAGTGTTCTACCACTGGGCAGCACTCCCAGTCCTTGTCTTTCAATACTGGCGTTCCTCTCAGTTGTGTGGGGAGTGACAAGGAACAGGTGAAATAGCCCTTATCCAAAATGTTTGGGAGGTCATCTTGGTGCTTAAAATTTTTTAGATTTTATAGGGCTGGCAGTTTAGCTTAGAGGTACAGCTGTTGCCTCTCATGCACAAGGCCCCCAGCACCATGAAAAAGAAAGAAGGTGGGGGATGTTTCAGCTAGGTGTGCTGATGCATCTCTCTAACCCCAGCTATTCAGGGAACCAAGGCAGGAGGATGACAAGCTTGAGGACTGCCTTGGCAGCTCTGTAAGACCCTATCTCAAAATTGAAAAACTGAAAAGGACTGGAATGTAACCTAGTAGTAAAGTGCTTGCACAGCATGTTGAAGCCCTGGGTTCAATCCCTAGTACTACAAAACAAACAAACTCAATTTAGATTAGATTTCAGAGTATTTTGGATTTCAGGTTTCTTTTCCTTTTGTGTGGTATTGGGGATTGAACCCAAGTATTTTACCTCTGAGATACATTGCTAGCCATAATTTTTTTTTTTAGTTGTATATGGACACAATATCTTTATTTTGTTTATTTATTTTTATGTGGTGCTAAGGATCAAATCCAGTGCCTCTCAAGCAAGCGCTCTACTGCTGAGCCCCAATCCCATTCCTAGCCCTTTTGAAAACTATTTTGAGACAGGATCTCCTGTCTCCATAAGTTTCCAAGGCTGCCCTTGAACTTGTGATCTTCTGCCTCAGCCTCCCAAGTTGCTGGGATCACAGGCATGAGCTACTGCCCCAAGGTGTACTTCCGATTTTTTAATTAAGGATATTCAACCTGATAGCATAGACTTCAGAGTCAGATCAAGTTTTAAATCCCAGTGTACTACCTTCTAGTTAGGCAGCTTGAGCAAAGTTACTTCGTATTTCTGTGCCTGTGCTTCCTTTTTTAAAGAAGTGGTATTAAAAATCACTTTTGTTTTGTTTTGTTTTACAGTTTCAACGTTTCAATGAAACCATTTATTTGAGACGTTTAGCACAATAGTTTTGTAGCAAGCAGTCCATAAATGTAGAAATATAGAAATATAGGTATGTATGCATAGATACACATATCTAATCACTCCTATGACTTTAGTCATTGTGTGTTTGCTTATAATCCCAAATCTTTCTTCAGTTAGATATGTCTCTCCAATACTAGGCCTATATTTATTCTATTGGCCACATAATCCCCAACTCATTATGACCTAAAATGAATTCATTCTTTTTTACACTCCAATAGCCCCTCAACTGGCTCCATTGTTCCCTATCTTTGAATGATATATCTACCTATAGCCCAAGTGAAACTTATGTATTACCCCCTGACTTTTCTTCCTCACCATTTGCAATTCAGTTATCAAGGAGTATTTTTGCATACTGTTTCCTATGGTTTATTAGTTTATTTTCTACTCCCATTGCAGAAACTCAAAACCTGGGAATCATGAATGTCTTTTTTTCTTTGTACTTCATTTCTATTCTCTATACCAAATCCTCCCAATTTTGTCAAGTAATAGTTTTCAAATTCAGTTACCCTATTTACCTTTCTAGCCTCATCTTATTATCACATTTGCTCCCCATTTTTTGCACTCTCTTCATACATGTTATACTTCATGTCACCACAGGGCTCTTGAACTTGCAGTCCACCTCACTTAGCAAGTTCCTCTTGTCTTTCACATCTCAGTTCAAAGCATCACTTTTCAGGAAATCCTTCCGTGCCCCAAACTAGGTCAGGTTTGGATTAGTGCTTCTTGATTCTTAGACTGATGCTTCATTCTTTACACTTGCTGGATAAATTTATTTCTGTGTCTAATTATTTGTTTCATGTCCTTCTCCACTACTGGAGTATGAAGACCATAAAGACAGGCAGTCTTACCATGTTCACTTTTTTTTTTTTTTTAAGTGGTGCTGGTGATTGAACTCAGGGCCTCACACACTCACACATACTGGACACTTTACTACTAAGCCATATCCTCAGTCCCCTTGTGTGTTCACCTTTTAAATCCTGATGCCTGATATGTAGTATGTCTCTAAATATTTGTTGAGTGAATAGGTGGTCATTATCACTATCCTAGGGTCTGACATCTCTTCTAAATTTTTGCAGTTTGTGTTTTGTCTATAGATATAGTGATATAGTGTATAGATACACTAATTGGAGTATTCCTTCTATATTATAAATGTGTTTGTGATAGTTTTCTTTAGAATCATTCAATTGTTTCACTTTGTCCTTAAGATAAAGTTCATATTCCTTTCCCAGTCTCATCTCTTATCACTTACCCTTTCTTAATCTGTTTCAGTAGTAGTGTACTACAACATTTGTAGTTTACCAGACATACTATTTATGTATGATATTTCTAACCTGAAACTTCCTAGCTTTCTGTTCTTTCATTTACATGACCCCTAGTTCTTTTTTTTTTTTTTAAATATTATTTAGTTGTTGATGGACCTTTATTTTATTTACTTATTTACATGTGGTGCTGAGAATTAAACCCTGCCTCACACATGCTAGGCACATGCTCTACCGCTGAGCTACAACTCCAGCCCCAACTCCTAGTTCTTTATTTATCATTCAGGTCTCAGTTTCAGACCTGTTTCCCACTTAGCAAGTATGAGGCCCTGGGTTCAATGCCCAGTAACTCCAAAATAATAATAGTCAGATTTCCCCTTAGATATTTCTGTAGCATGATGTAAATATATACCTGTCGCGGCACATATCATACTGTTAGGTTTTTTTTTTGTTTGTTTGTTTGTTTTGTTTTGTTACTGGGGATTGAACTCCAGCACTCAACCACTGATCCACATCCCCAGCCCTATTTTGTATTTTATGTAGAGATAGGATCTCACTGAGTTGTTCAGTGCCTCGCTTTTGTTAAGGCTGGCTTTGACCTTATGATCCTCTTGCCTTGGCCTCCTGAGTCACTGTGATTACAAGCATGCACCACAGTGCCCAGCTATTGTACTGTTTTGAAGATACCTATCAAATTGTGTGTTCTAAACTATTTCTTTATGAATGTTCCAGAAACTAATACAATCTCAGGCACATAGCAGGTACACAGTGAATTCACTCATTATGCAGTAAGTTTAGATACTAAGGCATGTACTGTTGGGGTTAAATCATTGTTATGAACTTTTTAATAGTGGCAAGATGAACTTTTTAATAGTGGCAAGGAATACAAGGTAATTTATTCATAGTATTAGGAAAATTATTTGGAGAACAAATGGAAGATCAACCTAGTTTAAATAGGTTCAGCTTTGCTAAAAATAACAGAAGTGCAATAGTGGTGCACACCTGTAATCCTAGTGACTAGGGAGGCTGAGATGGGAGGATCTCAAGTTCAAAATCAGCATCAGCAACTTTGTGAAGACCTAAGCAACTTAGCAAGACTCTGTCTCAAAAAATAAAAAGGGCTGGGGATGTGGCTTAGTGGTTAAGCATCTCTGGTTCAATCCCCAGGACTCCACTAAAAAATAATAATAAATAAATAAATAAATTACAAAAGTACAAATTAAAACAGCATTGGGGATTTTTTTTTTTTTTTCCCGCAGTACTGGTATTGAAGCTAGGCAAAGTACTTACTCTAGCTCACCCTTTTGTAAATTTTGAGAAAAGGACTCACTAATTGCCCATGCTGCTCTAGAGCTCAAGATTCTCTTGTTTCAGCCTCTTTAGTAACTGGGATTACAAGTGTGTGCCACCATTGCCTGGCAGAAAGTTATTTTTGCCTATTAGATTAACAAAGGTTATCATTTATAATATATGGGCAGGTAGGGCATGATGAAATAAACTCTTGCAGTATATAAAAAGTTAATGGGGGCACAACTTCTTTTTATAAAAATTAGTAGTTAGTAAGCTGTTCAATGTTCTTCTTCTTATTTTTTTTTTTTTTTTTTAGAGAGAGGGAGAGAGAATTTTTTAATATTTATTTTTTTTAGTTTTTGGCGGACGCAACATCTTTGTTTGTATGTGGTGCTGAGGATCAAACCCGGGCTGCACGCATGCCAGGCAAGTGCGCTACCACTTGAGCCACATCCCCAGCCCCTATTATTATTTTTTTATGGGTGGTTCCTGGGGATTGAACCCAGGTCCTTGGGCATGTGAGGCAAGAACTCTACCAACTCTGAGCTATATCTCTAGACCCTCGATGTTCTTTTTTTTTTTATGGTTCTGGGGATTGAACCCAGATGTGCATGCTAGGCATCTGCTTTACCACTGAGCTAGCATTTCTAGCCCCAAATGTTCATTAATTTTGAACCAGAAATTCAACTTCTAGACATATAATCTTTTGAAATACACATATGCAGAAGTATCCAGAAATATAAGTACAAGTTTGTTCACTACAGTGTCGTTTCTAAAGGTGAAAATTTGGATAAAACTCAAATGTTCATCAGTGGGATATTGTTAAAGTAAATGCCACTCACTACATCCATATGTAAAAACTGTATTTAAAGATAGTTTTTAATAATTAAGTAAAGTTGCCTCTATGGATCTGAAAAAAGGTTTATATT